GTCCATATTTCCAAGTATAATTGCACTTAGTTTTGATCAGTGATTTTACTTCCATAATCATAATTTTATACTAATGTTAGGAATACAAACATGTATTCCATAGGTGATGCTAAGGGTTAGAGGCTTTGGTTCCGGAAACCCTGCATGTGGGGCTCATTATCCCTAGATCTACACAGTTGGTGGAGGGAACGGGTGGATATTTGTGGGGTCTTTTTGTTTTATTTTTTTCATTTTTAACCAGGCATGAGCTTCTTAATGTAACCACCTACTCTAAAAAGAAATCTTAGTAGTATAGTACTTTGCCAGGCCACATAAGGTTAGTGGGTGATGTCCCCCCACGTCATGAACGAGTGCTAGAGAACAGAACTTTGCACCCATCTGTTAGCACAATGGGATTGCATTGAATACCTGACTGTGTAGCACACATCCGCCTCTGCACCAGTCTCGCAGTGATCGGTGTCCTCAACGTGTTTTGCGTTTACATGAGAAATACTTATTATCAGTCTTGCAAATTTTGCAGTAACCAAGTGCAACTCATTTTGTTCCAAATCTAATTTAGTCTGAATTTGGCAATTCAGAAGCGAGCAAAAAAAAAGGATTTTCTTAATTTTGAGCTTTCAGCTGTTTAGCAGGTAACAGCCTAATGTGTTATCCTGTGTGATTTCCATATTTAAGGATACCAAATTAGGAAGTCCGAATCAAAATTTTCAAAATTTTAGGCAAACCAAAATTAGATGATGAATGAATCAAAAATAAACAAAACAAATGTTTCCCCCATGCACATCTCTAGTCTGTAACAGGACATGCCTCTAGTTGCTGTCTAAGTGACAGTCATTACAGTTGTCCCTAGAGTCAAGTATGAATACAACCTTTTTCACAGGTTACAGAGGAGAGTCTCTTTACACCAAAACCACTACATTAAGCTGTAGTGGTTCTGTGCTGTGCTTAAGGGGTTATATTTAATTTAAAAATAGAATGACTTAATCAAGCTAATTAATGATAAAAAAAATGTATTTAAAAATTACACAATCTAAACAACAGTTTAGTTGGGTGTTAACTGAACAGTAGTATATGCATGGCTAAATGTTATATATAGCATTAAAATGTTTATTACATTCATTTATAAAACAGCTAATTAATACCAATTTACCACAACTCTTTAAGTAATCTGTCTCATAAGTGCTATATGTTTTAAAACCCATTTAGTGATGGGCATGTTGCTTATTGCTCATTTAAGTGACTCACACCCATGTGTAAGAATCTATTAATGTTTTCCTTGCTGTGTAATATTTAAACATTCAAGTATTTTATTAGTGCTTAGCACATGTCTATGTTTTGCTTGCTTAAACACATAAATGAGTTAACCTTTGGCCTATATAATATTCAATCCCACTGTACGGTGTGTGCTCCCACTGTGTATTGGGTGTAAAATGAAATGACAGTAAGACGCAGTATGATAGTGCCATTAGTCTTAGGGTCATAGTGTCAGTAACATTTGGTTGTATATATATTCTATGGATTCAGCAATGAGAATTGTAGAAACTCAGAATCATAACCCCTAGAAATTATACTACATTCAGATGGACATTGAGTAAAGCATTATTATTTCAGCAACATCGTACTTGTCAACTGTATTGATCTTGCTATTTAATGAATAGACATCAAAATAGGACCAGTTAGCAGAAAATCATTATATTATGTTAAACAGCTCAAATGTATAAGGGAAAATATACAGAGCGTTATATGCACGGCATATTTTTGCTCCTGTGAAAGTTGTTCCAATTTCCTAATTCTAAATGGTTATCCAGATGTGGACTACTTGCTTATTAAACCTTATTGTTGAGGACCATAGATTGCAGAAGCGTGCTACTCCCAAATGGATGTTTATTGTGTAATATATGGGCAAGTTTAGGAAGGAGAAGGTTATATTGTGTTGTACAGAGCAATTCAGGAAGGCTCAAGATATATTATTCTCCTGTTAACACGAATAGGGTTATTTGCTAAAGTAAAAATTCAAAGTGAATTTAAATTTTACCCCTTAAGGACACATGACATGTGTGACATGTCATGATTCCATTTTATTCCAGAAGTTTGGTCCTTAAGGGGTTAAAGCCAGAGTTCTGGAAGTGAACTGGATTCAATCTTTTATCAAAATATGTTTTTCTTACTCTTGTCCATTTTTGATGGGAAAGCATTTGATGTGCACAGATATAATTTCTCTATACCATTAATAAAATGTGTAAAAACCCAAAACAAATCAACTACCATATTTACCAAATGATTGAATTTCACATTATATCACTCATTGCCAATATATTAGTAAAAGTCAAGAAATACCAAAATTCTACAGAAATGTAAAAAAACTGTTTGTGCTTTGGTGTTCCATCCATCCAGTTTCTCATTGTGTCTCTTTCCTGATTGCTTTTAGGGCCTCCGATCGTACAGGAGTCCTTGTTCGGCCATTCACTTCTTCCATTCTCCTGGACTCAGAGGGTCTCATCATCATTTCGAGCTCCTTACGGTCTTCTCCTGTTAGGAGAATATGAGGAGCATATCACTCCATGTCCAAAAGATTTTAAAAGAGAATTGCCACTTCCCGGAATTTTTAGTATTAAGTTTACTTATCACTTATATTTAAAAAAATCTATATTTGTGAATTGTTAAACCTGAAATTAAATATAGAAATCAACACCTTTTTGTCTGTTAATTGGGTGATTCCCTTGTAGCTCTGTCAATCACGGTTATAAATGTTAACATTTTTAACAGAATTAATGCAAGAGGAGAACCAAAAACAATATTTCTGTTCTCCTTTACATTTGTATTTTGTGCCCTGACTACGCCTAGGCAGAACTGGATTATAATGTTACTTGCTGAATATTTAATATGCATTTTAAAAAAATGGAGCATCACATAAAAAAAAAAAAAAAAAACAACAAAAACAGTTAACACACTTCTTAAGTGATTTTCAATGGTTTATTCAATCATGGTATTTACAGAAAAATGACAGTTCCACTTTAAGGCATAGCGTGAAACTGTAACCCTATGAGTTTGCGGTTAAATCAAGGCTTTTGGAAAATTGGAAAGATTGGAAAGGTTCATTAAAAATGGAAAATGTATGGCTTAGCAAAAAAAATAAAATCAATAACTTTTCCTCATAGGCTTGCAATTGGTATAGGTAACAGGAAAAGTGCACAGCAGAGCAGTACCATACAAGGACAAAACAATTGTTCCTCACCAAGAACTGCACCATAATAGGTAATTCCGCATCAAGAATAGCACCACAATAGGTACATTTTAACAGGATTGAAAGTGCTCTGACATTTTAACAGGAGTGAAAGTGCTCTGGAGCACCCTGGGGCCAGCCAAAAACATCAAAACAGTATGCACTACAGCAGTGTTTCCCAACCCAGTCCTCAAGGCACACCTACCAGTCCAGGATTTATGGATTACCCAGTTGTGTCTAAGGTGTTTGTTTTCTTCTTTGTAAAAACACCTTAGACACAACTGGGTAATCCCTAAATCCTGGACTGGTAGGTGTGCCTTGAGGACTGGGTTGGGAAACACTGCACTACAGTACAATAATTGCTAGGGCAGACTACTTTGTGCTAATTCCAAAGTGTCCTTCAAAGAACTATCTGCAAGGTACTTTGCGATAGGATGTTTTTTGGACTCTCCAGTTTATGACTTGATTTTGTTAGGTGCATTTGGGTAGAAGGCATAGCAAAATTCTACCATAAAGAGACTATTTATAGAGGCAGTGAAGTGAAACAGTTTGTTGGTATTTGAACGTAGTAGATTTTGCACAGTATTCGAGTTAACCCAGTTCACATTAATAAAAAGTTTATCAGCTTTTTTTTTTAACTGTGGTACAACAGTCATGATAAAAAGTAAGAAAAAACATCAGAACATTTGTCAAGGATTATTTTTCATGATGTTGACTTTAAAAGCAATGTAAAATTAGCTGTCTGACTGAATCAAGTTATTTTTTTCAATTATTTTTTGTATTATTTTCTGTACAAACTGTGAACCCACATTAACATCAAGCACGTTTCTATTTATTACATACGTGTTCTTATGCTATATAAAACAAATAAATACTTTCTGTGCTTTAAAAGCATTCTGTCTTATTTTAGATGTGCTAAATAGAATGGCTGTGTTCTATTATGTGTAAAAATTGTTATTATGGTTTCGTCACTAAATTCACCCATATACTAAAGTAGAAAATCTGTTGCAAAAAATAAACCAGCAAACGAAAACTCTCTACAGAATATTTTCAGAGGTTAAGCAGTACATCCCAATCTATAATCTGGAAGTGGAAATTATAGCATCTTGATCATATTCCTTCTTAATAAACATGGGCCACAATGTAAATATGGACATGCTATATACCTATTTTTGCTGGGTATAACACCACAGATGCCACCCAGGTAGCTTACAAATTCACTGTATATCTTTCCATTATTTGAGTTTTAGTTTATAGTTTAGATTAGATCTGTGCACCAATTGGTGCAAAAATGTGCCCATGATTTTACTGAAAAATATATACATAATACATTTGCATTTTGCAGTACACTGACTGGCACATTTTTGCTCTTTTATTTTTCTCTTCTGAATCGTTTTGCCGAATTATTTGCATGAACAAGAATCTAGTTGTGTTTGGTATCATCACACACAACAAAACTTGAAGTTCTAAAATCAAAGATTTTAAGGATAATGTCTGTCTGTCTGTCTAACACTAGAGGCATCTTTCTGGACAAATGTAAAGATTTTAACTTTTCAAAAACTCCAGTGTTTTTCAGTGATTTAGTGGTTTTGGGGCTTAAGGTATCTACAACACAACATGTGTAGGATCTGATGATCCTACACCAGCCTTTGGCATGTACTCAAATATAACAAAATGTATATATATATAATATTGAACTTAATAGTTAGTCATCACCTATCTAAAATTTGCCAATAGCTTAAGCACAATTAAAAAAACCCCATAATTTTTCTGTCATTTGCAGCTGAGCCAAACATATTTTAGGTGATGAATTTACATTTTTACTACTATGAAACTTTGAATGTAGGTCTTCCTACCACTTGCTCATCTCTGTGTAAAAGGGAGAGAGGTCTCCAGTGTCTGTAACTTCTTATAAGGCAAGTGAAAGGTGCTCTTTCCCTACTTGTTAGCAAAGAATCATATAGATGTGAGTGAGTCATCTCAATATGGTGTGTGTGTGTTTCTGTGCTCCCCAGACATTGAAAGCCATATCACGCATATAGTTCATGTGATACTTACAGGGTTATTCACTAAATTTAGAATCCCAAAAGAAGTAATAGTGAACTTCAAATGCAAGGCCAAAGCAGCTGAATGGAAGCACGGCTGAATTAGAATTTAATTTTTTACAGTTCAACTACTTTGCCCTTAAATTTAAAATTCACTTTGAAAAAAAATAACAGTGTCACTTTAAATAAGAAAAGAAGCTTGGCCTGACATGTATATACTCTATAAATCAACAGATTTGTATATTTAAACAGATATACACACACACATATACATGCATGTTATATATTGAATGGATAATTGCCATAAAGTCTTTCCAAATGCTAATGGAAAAACCTGCCAAGTAGAACTCAAATTAAAATGTAAAAGTATATTTATATTTGATTCATTAAGCTAAGAGTATAAGAACTGATAAATAAAGGTATGTACTGAAGCTTGGCAAAAAAAAAAAAAAATGGCAAGAAATGAAGAAACCGACTTTTATGTGTTGGCACAAGCCTAGTATTTATATAACTCATCCAACTAATATACTCTGAATAGAAATGCTGTGCTTTGAAGTTTTACACTGAATTTTATTCAGTTCAATGCCTGTAAACTTATTTTATGATAAATATATTTATAGACTTAAAAGTTTGGTAGAAAAAAAAAATGAAACGCGTGAGATTCAATTAGGACAATATGCTGTGCTAATAAAGTGGAACACGAGATTTCACAATGTGACAACCTTATTTGGAAATGTGGTCTTCTGTACACCTGGATTTTATTTTATCATCACGGATGTGCACTACAGACACATTAATGAACCAACACATTTATTGTGAAAATACTGATTTTGCTTTGACAGTGAAAACATATGCATCGCTTTACAGAGCTAACCGAAGCAGTTCGCACTCAATACATCAACGTTACAGCTCATGAAAAACATGTTATAGATTACATTTAGACTGTGTTTATCAAGAAGATGGCTGAGAACATCATAAACCAGGCTGCTGGTCTTTATCATATAGCCATAGGCATTCTTGAAAACCATAATGGTTTAAGAAACAGTGGCCAGTCCAATGGCTTCATTTACAAAGAACCACCAGACAGCAACTTTCAAAGATGGCGCCCTCTGCTTGGCCTTAAACTGCTATGGATATAGTCATTGTGCAAACAGCCTTACTAGACTGTTCTATTACTCTGCAGTCCATAGGGAAACTCGATTCCATAAAGATACTACAAACACATACATATTTTTTTTTTCACATTCATAATATAGCAGAGACCCTGTTAAAATGTTGTGCTGAACTTGACACAAGGATCATTTGTAAGGACTTTCCAAAGATCACCTTTGCGCCAATCACACAATGGGTGCTCGGTGATGAGCACTGAATTGTTTCCCTGAAAAAAATAAAAAATAAAAACCTGTTCATATGAAATATGTAAACTATGAAAGCATATAGGCTGTTTCAGAGGGACTCTGAAAATATTCCCAGAATACATTGCTTCCTGTTTAATGGCTTCCTTTAGAAAATGAGAAAGTGCGGTGGCATATACAATGAATGCTTTATGCTTAAATACATGTTATAGCAACACAGTGGCAACTAGCAGGTTTAGGTCTCATTGGAATGTTGGGTGATTAAAAAGGTTGTGATGGACTGTATTAATTGAAATACGGATGAGAATAAAAGGAAGGTACAGATGATAAAATATACATGTCTATCTTCATATGCTCTCAAATTAATAATAAGCACAATTAATATTGCTAAAATTTGTGACAAAACAATATAACACATGTATTGTATTGCAAACATGCCAAATTAGAATTGAGTTTAAAAAACAACACTTTCTGGGATTAAAAAAGAATGTGTACCAAAATGTATTTATTAAACCTACATTTAGAATGTTCTTTTCCTGGCTATTATTCATGGCAGCATATACACATGGGTTAGCTCCTCCCCTACAGCCGATAGGACAGGAAAACCACCAAGGTTTTAAAAGGAGGCTCCATCCCTAAGGTCCTCAGTCTTTTTCCTGTCCTACAGCCCTTAGGACGTGAGCAATTTGCTCCCTTTACTTACGGACATATATGTTGTTTTATTTTCATTACTTTATTTGCTGTTTTACTGTAGTACATTATGCAGTTGTGCTTTATGCTGTGATGCATTTAAGCTTTGATATCCTTGGCCCCTTAAGGACCAAACTTGTGGAATAAAAGGGAACCATGACATGTCACACATGTCATGTGTCCTTAAGGGGTTAAATTAGTGCATTGTACAGCTGTACCTTATTTTTAAGATTGTGGTAAATTATGCAGTTGTGCTTTTGCTAGGAAGCATTTAAGCTGTGTTGCATTTAAGCTGTGTGGCATTTAAAACTGTTTCATTTAAATTTGCATTTAATACTGTTGCATGTAATACCGCAAGTCATTGGAAACTGCAGTGCATTTGAAGACTGATATATTTTAAAAACTGTTACATTTTGGAAACTGTTAGATTTGAAAACTGTTACCTTTCATACCTTGAGGCCTTTAGACTGTGGTGCCTTTAAACTTTGACTGTTTGCACATGGTTGCCATTTAAACTTCCTTGCAGGCACGTTTGTTATCTATGTTGCTTCCCCCTCGGTCCCAGTGATTTATTCCCGGTTCCTTGGGTGTTTAGGGGCCATGTAGGCTTCAGATAGAGTCCTCTCCCTGGTCTCTAAACAGCAAACACACTTGGAATAGGCCCACATGTGTGCAGTTTGGGCCTTATTGGGCCTAATACAGATGACTTGCATTGTGGGAATACAAGTTGAGGCAGCCATCTTGGATAAGGGCAATTGCCAGAAAGTGCCTAAAATAAAGGGGAAATTACAGTAAACATACCACACTTATTTGGTAAGTATTTGCAGGGTCTCCAGACATGGATAAGTGCTGTCTTTAGCCTGTTTTAAAGCGGTTTCGCTGGTTTCTTATAGAATTTTTAACAGTGCACCTTTTTTCTTAATACTTTACCACAGGTAATATTTAGTTATTATTATTTGTCAGGTGTCTGATTCTTCACCAGGATCTGGTTATCAGGAGAAAACAGTGGATGGAATCGGTTATGCACTGACTTCCTCCAGAAGGTTGTCGCTTCAGCGTGACCTATCACTGTGCAGCCACATGACATGCGGGCAGGGATTACAAAGTAAGTTCCAGAGGCCTTAGGGGTAAGAAAAGAGGCCAGGCTTTAACCTGTGGAGGAAGTTATTTCCAACCCCAGAACTACATCACCTAAGTTGCACACTTATGGATCATAGGTGGACGCAGACCTGTCCAAAACTTTATGCCTACCATTGCAGCAGGCCAGCCAGCTGTGATTTCCGCTGCTGTTTCTACAAACATGAAATATGTGATTAAAGATCTAAAGGCTACTATGGAGAGAGATATTAAAAGCCAAGATTGAAGAGGCAGTCTGAAGTCTTCAGGTTACAACTGACTTCTTCACAGAAACTTCCCTAGATGTAACTAGGATATTCTCTGGATCAAATGGCTTTATCTATAGCAGTTAAGAAAGCATTATGGTTCTGTTTCTGGGATGATGACTCATCCTCCAAGTCTGCCCTCTACACCATTCTATTTGAAGGGGTGGTGCTGTTTGTGAAAAATTTTGATAATTCCATTGAAAAGGAGAATGAGGGCTGCAAGATATTGGTACCTTAGGATGGAAGTTCCAAGGATCCCAGTTCCTCATAGTCTGACCGGAGAACATCCAGTGACCAGTATTTCTGAGATACAGGGAGCTACTGGCACTGCAGGGAATACTCCAGAGGTAACTCATGGCAGTTGGTAAACCTGCCTTTCAAGGTTCTAATGGAGCTAGAACGCAGTTGTTTTGCTCTTCAGCAATGAAAATATCTCCTCCAGTACTAGGAGCCTAATTTTTCTGATCACACATACCTGGGCTCGTCATACTCTGGAGGCTTGAGTGGTATCCATGGTCCAGATTGATATAGACTGGAGTTTTTTCTTAACGGGCACAGGAGTCTCCATACCAACAGTATTAAGACCAATGAATCCAAAGGTAAAGCACTGAAGGAAGAAGCCTTCTGGACGAAGAGGTGATTTTTTTTTTAGGTCCCAGAACAAGAGCAGTTCCAGGGACAAGTTTCGCCTCTCTTCTGGTGCTAAGAGGAAAAGCACATGAAAGCCTACACTGGACCTAAGAGGGGCCAACAAGAGGCTGAATGTTAGAGTCTTTGGGATGGAGTCAATCAGATCCATATCTCAAGCAATCTGGAAGGATAATTTCCTTACCTCTATATATCTCAAGGATGCTTACTTTCAGTCCAATCTGCAGAGATCTTCGGCATTAGCTCAGAAGAGAACTTCCATGTTAGTGCCCTACCATTTGGCCTTAATGCGGCCCCAAGAATCTTTCTATGTGCTTATAATGTTATTGAGAGTCCAGAACTCCACCTGGTTCCATTATCTGGAGGATCTACTTCTGATAGCCTTAGACCCTCAGAAGGCAGGCACACATAGGTATATAGTTCTTTCATAACTCCTAAAGTTTGGCTGCTTGATGAATATCAAGAAAAGCAGTTTCAGACCAGCTCAGTGGATGACATTCCTGAGTGGAAAATTCTAGGCTCTGCTTTTCCCTATCTCGGGAATAGTTCCACAGATTGTAAAGGTTTTCTCTCCCAGTTTCTTCATTTCTGCCTGGTAACAGCAAGAAAATAGATGCAACTACTAGGAATCCTGGCTTCCATCAGCAGACTTGTCAGATGGGCCCAATGGCATCTCTGGATTCCTTATAGATCCTTCCTATCTTGGTCTAACAAGAGAAAGATTATTGGAGTCAGCCACTTACTATGTCCCCATCAGTGGAGTTGCACTTTACCCTGGCAGCTGAAAGAGGGATTAGATCTCTGAGTTTCCAGTGAACAGAACATCATTGGTCAATTATTAGCTCGAATTCCAGTTTTTATAAGATTGGTTGCACAGTGTTTGGACCATGTTGCACAATATTTCCATTAATTTGTATGGAATTAAGAGTCATTTTCAAGTCTCTTCTTCATTTAAGAGGCTTGCTGAAGAACGAGTGGGTCCAAATTTGCTCAAATATCAATGCAACTGTATCCTATATCTACCAAGATGGGTCTCACAGATACATATTGATGGAATTCCAGCCCATAATGACCAGGGCACAGAAGAACAACCAGTGGCTCAGAATACCATGGCTGTTTGCTGGAGCCGAATAACTGTGGACAAGGTGGATTGGCAACCATGTCCTGACGTATCCTCGTGGTTGACGCAGATTGTCTGATACCATACATAGATCTGATGGCCATTTCTTGGAACTACCTGGTCCAGAAGTATTTTTTACATGCTAGGACTAGAATGCTCAGGTTCAGGATACACTGGCTCAAATTTAGAATTTTAGTCTGATGTACATATTTTCCTGTTTTCGACCTTCTTAAAAAGGCAATGCAAAAGGTGACAGTGGAAGACCGTGTCAACTCTAATTCTTATGATGAATAAGATTATTCTGGAACCTCCAAGGGAAATTCCTGTACGTCCAGACCTATTACAAGGCCCCATGACACACCAGGATCCTCAAGTTCTGGTGTTGATGCGGGAGTCCATATTAGTATGGGCATCCCTGAGACGGTCATTGAGATCCTCTTACAATCCTATACAGGCTTTACTAATCTTGACATGCTTTTGTCTGTTGGAATTACTCCTCGTTCAGGCCCTGAAAGGTTCTGTGTTATAACACTCTAGCGGAACACTTAGCTGCACTTTGCTTCATATAGGCATTCATTGAAATCATGCCTCCACTGAGTGTGGTGAAGCCAATATGTCACACGGGCCCTGACTGAACCATTATTCGAACCTCTAGTAGGAGCTTCCATGGTGGTAGCACAGAAAGTGCTGGTGGCTGGTACCCCAGTAAGGAAAATGGGTGAACTCCAGGCTTGATCCTGTGAACCCCCTTTCACTACTTTTCAACAGATATGGTCGTCTTGCATATGGCACCTGAAGATCCTGGCAATGGTGTATGCTTATCTATGTCATTCTCTACCTGTACTGAAGGGTACCGATTGAGCGTTGATGCCCCTGGTGCTTTGCTTCATGTAAGCAACAACTGAACTCAAGCCTCCGCTGAGGTTGTTGAAACCAATATGTGACGAACCACTGGTCTCACAGACTCTGACTGAACTTCTAGCAGGAGCTTCCATGATGTTAGCCCAGACGTTGCTGTTGCTGGTGACTGGTACCTCAGCAGGGTGAATGTGTGCAATTGCTGCACTTTGCTTCATATAGGCATTGATTGAAATCATGCCTCCACTGAGTGTGGTGAAGCCAATATGTGACGTACCACTGGTCACACGGGCCCTGACTGAACCATTATTCGAACCTCTAGAAGGAGCTTCCATGGTGGTAGCACAGAAAGTGCTGGTGGCTGGTACCCCAGCAAGGGAAATGGGTGAACTCCAGGCTTGATCCTGTGTACCCCATTCACTGAATTTCAACAGGATATGGTTGTCTTGCATGTAGCACCAGTGATCGTGCCTAAAGTGAGAGCCTTTCAATGCCGTTCTCTACCTATAGCAAAGGATTTGGGGCATTCTCCACTAGTGCTGTTACAGCATCTCGTGGGCTTCCATGGCAATGGTCTCTGCTGAAACTTTGTAAAGTTGGCATTTGAACTAGTTTGTCCTGCATTACATATTGAACATTGAAGCAATTAATGAAGCACAATTTGGATGTCACGTCCGTTCTTTACCTGTGCTGGAGGGTATCAAAGCACTCTCCTCTCATGCTGTTGCAACATCATGGGTTGCCATGGCAATGGCTTCTGCTGACACTTTTTGTAAGCTAGCATTTGAACCTCTTTTAGACACATTTGTCTGGCATTTCATACTGTTCGTTAAAACAGTCTATGATGCACAATTTGGTACTCAAGTACTTAACTCAGTTCATTCTTCTATCTATGTTGAATTAATCTGATAATTTGATTGACTATTCTGTCCCTCCCTCTGTAAGCTTGGGTATTCCCCATGTGTATATGCTGCCATGATTAGCCAGGAAAGTGGAAAATTTATTCATACTTACTGTAATTTTCTTTTCCTGGCTATTATTCATGGCAGCATATACTTCCCACCCATTAATGTCTCTATGTACTGTAGAGCTTGTAAACTGACTGAGGACCTTATGGATGGAGCCTCCTTTTAAAACCTTGGTGGTTTTCCTGTCCTATCGGCTGTAGGGGAGGAGCTAACCCATGTGTATATGCTGCCATGAATAATAGCCAGGAAAAGAAAATTACGGTAAGTATGAATAAATTTTCCACTATGTCTAATAAGTTTAAAATAATTGCACAACAATAAGTGAAAAGTTATGCATAAATATAGCTATATTAAATAATTTATTTTGACCTTTTTGTAATAATTTCTGCAAGCCTTGTTTTAGATATAGTAATGAGGTTTTTTTTATATGGAAAATAGTAAGCCATGTGGTTGATATGTTATTAATTAATTTTTTTTTTATTTTTTTTTTTATTGACCACCGATCAATAAGTCAAACTTGGCTTTTTGTCAATGATTCTTTGTTGATTTAAGAGTTGAATTAAGTGTTTT